TAAAATTGGGTCAGTGAAGCAAAGTTGATGACGCGACTCGCTTATCTTCAGCAATCAACGTTGATCAACGAAGTGGCTGCTTGTACCTTTAATGACTTTGACTGAACGTATGACTATCGGGGCTAGGCATAACGAATTAAGGTTCTGTGAATTCAAAGTCTCGTAAGAGCGACATTATGTAGGGGCCTCTTCGTAAACGGGGATCATGGAATCGTCAAGTGTACGTACGTCGGGGTGGGTCATGTTGCTTAAAGCATGACGATTCTACAGGAGGTAAACCTTGAGTAAACGTTGTGGAGGCTGGATTCACCTCTTGCGTTTTTAAGCGCGTCTAAATTCACAAAGCCAGTCACGAGTGCGATGAAGAGTTCGATGAGGGCCCAGATTCCTACCGAAAAGCTGCTGGGAATTAAAAACACGGATTGGTTTTGCGACAGATCGAGTCATTTAGTGACTGTGAAGAAACAAACAGAGGACCACCAAGGAAATCCAACCCAAGTACTAAAAAGGAGGGACTGAATTGGTTGAGAGCTCGCGCAGAGATTAAACCCAAAAATTGTTTATACAGAGAAGACATGGCAATGGTGGCAGACCTGTACAAAGAGTCGGTATCTTTACTTTTTGACCAATAACCTCCTCCTGGCCACACGTTGCGAGGTGGATGGGAGTGACTCTCTTTCCATTTTGCTTTCCAAGTCCTCCATTTCAATGTCCATCTTTTCAACGGAGTCCTCCTGTTTGCTCTCAATTTCCTCAGGTTCTTTTGCTGAAGCCATGTAAATTTCATTTAAATCAACTCACCATTGGGAGCTCGAATAAGATGCATCTGCGTCTTGACCAAGGTGACATCCTCTTTCTTGCGTAATTCAACACCCCTCTTAAGGCGTTTCGTAAGAAATAGTTTTTCGCGCTTTTCCTTGATATGGTTAATAGTTTTCATTGCATTTACTAGGGACAAGATCACAGTTTTGAAGCAAACATACATGTCGTAACCAGATTCTCACGACTGTACTTCTGAATAACATTCCTCTTCCTTTCAAAGGATTGAGCAAAGTCATCACTAAGATCCTTTTTGAAAAATTTTCTGGAAGTTTTAGTCCATTTTGCCTTTCTTGGTGCCCTTTTCCTCTTGAATGCTTTGTGGCATTTGCCACGGCAGAATCGAAATTCCTTAGCAGCTCGATACAAATCGAAAAACAGTACCTTGCAATCGTTTCGAACAAACATTATTCCATGACCTGGATAAATAGGACTGGAACAGAACCAGCAGCGATAAATGCGCATGCTATTATTTTAGCCCTGTCAAATGTTGCTCGGAGCGTACCAAAGGCCGAATCGCTACCCAATGAGTTTTACGTTTGCAGGCGTATTAAAACATGGATCAATTGCAACTTAGCAGATTTGCATTAGTCGACTGGAAATTTAAAACTGGTCATTGTGAATGAGAAATAAAAGCAATTTACGTATGGCACTTTCGATATCGAAACTCGGCTATCATTTGTTAATGGAAATTTTTCCCATATTCAATTTTAATCATCCCTTTTTTATCTTTAGAATGCAAAACTATAGTTCCTTGAGGCTCGTTTTGAGGTAAAAGGTACCACGTCGGGCTGAACACAAAGCACTCTCAAAGGTTAAGATGGGACCACGTTTTGAATTGCCCCAATGCCGGCCCACGCGCACATAGCCAAAACGGCTGCCATAGTGGACGCTAGTGTAATACCTTGTTTATGTGACTACCTGACGTTTGGCGGAAACCCTAGAGTTTGTCTGCCCCCTGCACGCGTGGGCTAGCCTTCGGGCCACGCTCAAGCTCCGTTTGCCCTTTTGTCTTCGAGTACATTTATTCGATCTCACTTATGCCTTCTTTCACCCTATGGAAAGTCTCGGGACGCCGCAGCTAGATGCACAGGTGACAAGATAAACAAAGTATTACACTGTTCCTTTTCTTCTTAACAATATTCTCGGCGCTCCGCTTAACACGCCCCCTGCGCCAGCCATCACGACATATCCAGTGCCACAAGGAAACACTCACAACAGACACCAGCTATCATGAGGTCAAGGGATTGCATGCAGCTTTCTTAGCCAATTCAGCTGTATTTAGAGTTTCCTTTTGTCTGAGAACATAAATCAATTGCTTTCAGAAACTTTGTATGGCCTGAAGGTCAGCCCACGCGTACAAGAGCGTGACGAATAACAAAATGGCTGCCAGACTTATAGGTGGACATAAACGAACCATAATGATACCTCTAAGAGGAACGCAGCATGTTAATAAGAATATTCATTAGCAAAACTCTATGGATTTTTAGCAGCTTTTGTCAAAATTATGAACATTCGTTTTCCTTTCTGATGACAGTTGCGATTGTGGTGCCAACATTACTAGCACAGCTCAACAGAAGTCTGACCCTCTTTGAGTTCTTTGCCATCCATAGAAGTACGCAGTGCGAGAAGTATTGTACATTTTTTTAAATTGGCAACCCGTACGTCTATCGGTTTCCACTTTATCCGCCTTTCTCCTGTATCCATCTACTGGTCCTTGAGCCAAGCCAAAGTTCATTCCATTCTTCCCTTTTTAAAAAACACGATTAAGGTCAATTAGCTCTTTCTCATGCCTAGCAGAATTATCGAGCCCTGTAGAAGTGTACATGATGAGAAGGAAGACTAATTATGTTTTAGGCTCACATCGGTCCCAAATTAAATCCCGCCTCTAACCTATGCGGCACACTTTAAATATCCTTCATAGTTTATAGCGGCAGTTATGGTTATTTAGATAATCTTTGTAGGCGAGGCCCTAATGGCATAATTCAAAATCTCTTTTGAGTGGAGAGAGGTTGAATGTGGCCGTGTAACACACTTCCCTGGGGTTAATATTATCATCCTCCCTCCGTCACTAGACCAACAAAGATGTCCCAAAACAAAGGAATTCTTCCTTCTAGTCATGGTCGTATGAATGGATACGCTGATGAAGCAATTGTCACAGATTACAGTACAGGGCTTTTCATTTACTGACAGCAGAAGCCTTTAAGACCAGCTCAAATTAGCACGATTTAACCTCAATCTGCTTTTTAAATCGCAAAGTCTTCCCCATAGTTTCCCTGTCCTCAAGCAAGATTTACTTGCAAAGTAACCAATGCAGCATGTCCCCCAAATCAACATCGTTCAGTCCCGATTCTTCCCATTTTATGGTATAAGGCATTAAACATTGCTGGATGTTTGTATACAGCGAGAAGAGGAAGACGTGTGGCCTTGTACTGATCCGAAGATCAGCGTACCCACGAAACGCAAGATGAACTCCACAGTAATCATACAGGTAGTTGAAACAACAAAGCGTTAGAGCCTAAACTCAACTAATTACCAGTTGGCCAAAGCATGTTACGCTAAGGGTCTTTGCCATCGCTACCACAAACCCGACTAAAACGGAATTCGAGTTATTGTCTCTCCGCACTTCAAAAAGTCCATTTAAACACAAGCATCGTATTGCATTCAAATCCTCAATCCTGTGGAACCAAAGCAATAACAGCCATTACGTACTGTGGAGTTGCGATAGAACTTTAAGCATATGTTGCATCTCTTAACCACATCGTAACGACAAAAATGGGTCCCACTTAAAGTGAGGAATGCAGCGCTGTTGACGCATAAAAGATAGGATCGCCTCCAGCCAAGAGTCCCTCTTGGAATTTTATTGCATAAGAAGGAAGATATAATACCGAGGGAAAAGGCACGTTCCACGAACAGGTGTCTGATATCAATGGCTTTGGCATAGGCTAGCACATTCGGTGAAGGCCCTTTTCGGAATAGCTGCCTGGTGATATGGGTTT